GGTGGAGGATTAGCCAAGTGAGCCATGGTGCCAACCATAAATAAATCTTAAGAAGAAGAAAGGAAGCTGAAATTTGGAGCCAGGACTTAAAGCCAGGCACTCTATATAGGATATCTTAATCACATGCCAAACAACCTGCCTAAGTTATTTTTAAAGGTCAAAATACTGATATTTTTGTTGTTTAATATGAGGTTACTTCAAGAAGAATATGGCAAAATGGAATAAAAGATAAGTTTATTTTGGTGCCCGAAATTTTTGAAATCCATGCATGTTTTTTTCAAAGCACACATTTTCCATGAACTGTTTGAATACTCCTTACATGACCCAGATGTTTGGGCTGGGGCTAACAATTTGAGTGTCACCAGCACAAACATGAATGTAAAGTTTGATGACTAGAGTGGGTGTTTGGCACAGTGGTTGGGGTTCCACTTGGGACACCTGCATCTCAGAGTGCCTGCGTTTCATGTCCTGCCTGTGCTCCCAATTCCAGCAGCCTGCTAACATGCACCTTGGGAGGCAGCAGGTGATGTCTCCAGTATTTGGGTCTCTGCTAGGCACGCAGGAGACTGCACTGAGTTCTGGGCTGCTGACTTGCTTGGCTCAGCTTTACCTGTTGCCGGCATTTGGGCAGTGAACCAGTGGATGGAAGATCTCTTTGTCTCCATCTCTTACTCTATTTTTTGAAAAGCATAAAATAAATCATAATAAAAAGAAATAAAGTTAAGTGGCTAGATGAACCCACTAAGGGAATGAGCATAGAGAAAGTGTCTTTGAATGGAACTCTGGTGACATGTAAGATGTGAGGGTGTGAGACAGAATCAGCAACCAAAACAATCTAAGGATTCTTCCTTTTAGAATTAAGTCCTTTGTTGACATGTGCAATTTTCCATGTTCTAGCCCAGGTTTATCTCATCTTGCCACTTCTCATCCAACTGCATAAAGGTTTTGAAGATGTATCTTGGGGCCAGCATTGTAGCACAGCAGATTAAGCTGCCACCTGCAACACCAGCATCCCATATGGGTACTGGTTGAAGTCTCAGCTGCTGTACTTCTGATTCAGTTCCCTGCTAATGCATCTGGGAAAGCAGCAGAGGGTGGCCCAAGTGCTTGGGCCCCTGCACCTATGTGGGATACCCAGGTGGAGTTCCCAGTCTCCTTGCTTCAGCCTGGCCCAGCCCTAGCCATCTGGGGAGTGAATCAGCAGATGGAGATCTCTCCCTCTCTCTCCCACTCTTCCTCCCTCCCTCCCTCTCTCCCTGTGTAACTCTGTCTTTCAAATAAATAAATAAATCTTTTAAAAAAATTTTTTTAATTAAAAAATATGGAATGCTTCACGAATTTGTGTGTCATCCTTGTGCAGGGACCATGCTAATCTTATCTGTATGGTTCCAATTTTAGTATATGTGCTGCCGAAGCAAGCACAAATAAATCTTTTTTTTAAAAAGAAGATACATAGGGGCCGACGACGCGGCTCACTTGGTTAATCCTCCGCCTGCAGCGCTGGCATCACATATGGGCGCTGGGTTCTAGTCCCAGTTGCTCCTCTTCCAATCCAGCTCTTTGCTGTGGCCCAGGAAGGCAGTGGAGGATAGCCCAAGTGCTTGGGCCCCTGCACCCGCATGGGAGACCAGGAAGAAGCACCTGGCTCTTGGCTCCTGGCTTCGGATCAGCGTAGCTCCAGCCGTAGTGGCCATTTGGGGGGTGAACCAACGGAAGGAAGACCTTTCTCTCTGTCTCTCTCTCACTGTCAAAAAAGAAAAAAAAAAAAAAAGATACATCATGCCTTCTCTCCTTCTGGCTCTCTGTTGTGCATTTTTTCTGAACCATGATTTCTTGCCTCCTTTTGCCCATACCTAACTCCTTTCAATCCTTTAAACTTCTACTCAGCTGTAGCTTGCTGAGAGGTCTGCCAGGCATTTGTTAGCTTCCTCTGCTGTTTAGGCTGATCCCTGCCTTCACCCCAGCATTCGGAACTCTCTCCACTCTTTCTGTCCCCTGTAGTCATGCACAAGCAATTGCTCTTTTTCTCTCTGAAGAGGAGTTGTTATTTACCTGTCTCCTCTAGCAGATTACAGCAAATCTGTTATTCATCATGTTCAACACAATATAAGCATATTTGGTTGGTACTTAAATGTTATTTCATAAATTTGATAGCCACTACAAACTAAGTGATCAAGACAGAAGAAGAACTTTATATAGGGTTGGCCTTTGACAATAGTGATTTAAGTTAGAGGGTAGAGCGGAGTTTTTTGAAAGAAAACATTGTGTGGTTATCAGAGGGAGTCAGAAACACGTCAGTAAGCTAGAGATTACCAATATTTTTATAGCCACGGCAAGGAATTTGTAGCTACAATGGCTTGATTAACTTCTTGTCTGTCCTCTTCAATGAAAAGCTGCCTGGCAGATAGAGTGTTTTAACAGCAGGTAGACACACAAGTACAGTGGCTTCATTATTTTGAATGTTTATTTGCATGAAATTTTTTTTGAATACCAATTCCCATTTCATTTTTTAACAAACTACCTCAGCCTGTCAGGTGTTTGAATGAGTGCCTCAGCTTTCATAGGCATGTGAATAAATGAACACTTTGAAACCAGGTCTCCATGTTGGATATAAACCTTCTTAAGAGTCATGGAATTGTTATTAAACTTCAGAGAAGCATAACTGGTCAGTAGAAGGGTGGAGATAGATTTAAAAGCCAAAAATTTTTAAGGAATTTAAGGAGTGGAACTTAGAAAAGGTGTTAGGTAGAAACAAGGTTTCTCTGTTTATAAGTGTATTAAATGAAAACCTAAGATTTGAATCATGTTTTAAAACATTCTATAAATTTTATTTAATATTACAAACATTTTTTCCTGTGGCATGGCCACAGGTGTTTTATAAGATGAGACAACTATAGCTTCTTTACTTTCAGTGTGCATAGTTTAACTACATATCAGATGGGAGGTAACATTGATAGGGCACAGACCTGTGAAGATGTGTTCAAAAGAAAAATGCCCAAGTTTCAGTTTTTTAGTCTAAATTTTGTCCTCTATATAATATAGTCTAGAGCACTGTATATCTAATTCTAAAACTGCTTTAAGATCCAGCTGAAGTTCAGTTTGGAAATGTTATATTTTGTTCTCTCAAATGAAACTTTAAGCATATGTTTTTGATAATTTAGTTAAAATATGCTGAGTTGTATATTTTTTAAGAGAATCTGTTTTGAAACGATTCCAAAATATTTGTTTGAACAGGCACTCAGTATCTCGATGAAAGCTGTTGGAAAAGAAAAATTTTCAGAGTCATTCTGTTCTCAGAGTACCCAAGCCAGCTAACCTGGTACAGTTAACACTTCTGTAAGAGACCAGGAGCCAAGATATTTAGCACTTCCTGGACTGCTTTTCAGCAGACCTTCAAACCAACTTAGTGGTTATAGTAATATCATTGACTTTTCAGAGTAAAAAGCATATAAGTAGAAAATCTACATCTCTTCCTATCAATATTATCTTAACAGTCTCTTTCAGTAATCCATGATTAACTTCAATCTCTGCCTTATGTTGGCATTGAAGTTCTAATTCTTTCTTGAATTTTGTGGGTTATTCTTCTTATAAAATAAAGAGGAATGCCCTGTAGAGTATGAGCCCAGCTATGATTAAACCATCTGCTAGATATAAATACTTTTATATTTTTTTTGTACCACTGAATGTCATAGTAGAAATGCAAATTGGGTAGGACATCCTGATGCTTTGGGAGGACTGGCAGTTATATTAGGTGACCAGATGTATGAGTAGGGATTATTTATTCAGCTTCTAACCCAGTCATTTGCATTATGTCCTCTTCCAACATCACCTAATGCATTTAGCAATGACATGCTTAGCATAAATAATATGTCTCTGTCTTCATATTTGCTCTAGTAATTGCACTACTTACATGTTTGTTGAGTTAACTAGATAGTATCTGCCATATTTAGGTACTGAGTGGAGAATATAAACAAAAGACTCAAAGATCCTGTATGCTAAATTCAGAGACAAGACTAGATTTAAGATCTGTACTACCATTTCTCAAATATCGCAGAGTTAGTTTGGAAAATAGCAGAAATTAAATTTTCAGTCACTTGGTTTTCCAAGTCCTCCCCACAAGATTAGATTAACAGTGTCTCCAGAAATTATTATCTTACCTTAATATATTTTAAGCTTCTTTTAAAGCCCTGAGTGTATAAGAATTATATGGAACCAATGATAAATTTTTTCCCTTCATTATTTAGAAATGTGTATAATCTGAAATGGCAAATTACCCACAGATTGGGGTGACTTCAAAGGGTATGAGAACCAGCAGAGGAATGCAGTCTTTCCTGCAACCCTGCCTAATCTTTCCATTTTGGATGGAATATTTCTAGAAGCTTAGAAGGCACGTGAAGGAGTTATAGAAAGGAATTGAAGAGGTTGAGGCCTGAAAATGAACATTGAAAACCAGAGCCTGCAGTTGATGAAGCTACTGTCTTGGGAAGCAGGCACACACATGAATAAAAGAGTAGGTTACTGAAATCTAAGAAAAGGAGAACAGGCAAAGCATTTCCAATGTCCTGATGTTCCACTTGATACTATTTTGGATAAGTCTCACAAGGGAGATGGTTGAGGTCACTAATCCTTAGTACATGAACTAAGAGATAGGAATTCTGTTTTTCATAGGAAGTAATTCTGGCCCTTAAGGATTCTTTAATAGAGGGACTTTTTTTGTCTGTAATTTCTCTAATTTAGTGCCAGAAGCTTTCTGGGAGACTATTCAAAGCTCTGTGTCTAAGTTTCATTGTTGGAAAGTGACAGCTGCTGTATTTTTTTCCCCCCTTTGCTATCATTCTTTTTAATAACTGATTTAATCTCTTTCTGTCATGTCCCTCTATTGCTAAGTTCCTTAAGATTAAAAAAAAAGCTTGCTTAAAGTAAAAGTATTATGAGACAAAAAGTTTATTCTGTGAATGGAATAATACTTCTTTTGTGACATTTTCTTTTCCCACCAAAAGTGAGAGGTGAATGCCTTGCCTTTGTACATCCCATTTCTAATGGAGGACAAGAAGTTATTTTCTTCAATGGCTGACTTCCAGAATTTTTGCCTGAACGTTTTTTGTCAAGCATATATTCCCTTCTTTAGGCCTTTCTACATAGAGCCCACAAACATCGTCAATGTGAATGATGTCATTCAGAGGGTTAGCGACCATGCCTCTGCCATGAACAAGAGGATTCATTACTACAGCCGGCTCTCCACTCCTGCAGACAAGGCACTGGTAAGAGGCAAAGCATTACTAATTGTCTAAAGTTCAGTTGAAATGAACAGAGAGCAACAGAAGCCAAGGCAACTCCCAGTAATTTAACTTTTTGCGGGCAATATTCCAAGGACAACATCATGCAAAGTCAAAGATAGTAATTAATACATGCCCTACATCTCAGGCTAGTTCACTCTTAGTTAGCCTAGCACAGGGATACTTGAAACACTCTGTTAACAACAGCCTAGAAATATTTTTGGATTAGATTCTGCTAATCCCAAATTCTAAGAACTCTGAGGAGGATAAATTACTTTTGTAGTTTCAGTTTAGATCATTGATTAAAAACATAAATAATAAGAATTCTGGTGAGTCTGTTCAGTTCTAAAGTTTGAAGTTATAAGAGAAAAGTGTTCATGGACGTTTTCTACAGGAGTGGGCAACTGGAATTTGTACATGCATACACTCATATGTAAGTTTCCTGTTTAGTATTATCCTTTTCATTGATCATCAACAGTGGCCAAGGGGCCAGATAGGTAATGGGCTTTGTAGGCCACATACTGTCCCATGTTCTTCATTTTGTTTTATAACTATTAAAGACATGAAAACCATTCTTAGAGAAAAGACTATAAATGCTCATGGGTCATGGTTTGTTAACCTTTGATCTAAAATTTTTATTATTATTTGAGGATCAAGAATAAATGATTTGGTTGCTAGTAAAAATTATTAAATCTGTGATACTCTTAAACTTGAAAGTTTAAAGAATAAGAACACTTTGAGATAGAAAAAATGTTTTTAAAATAGATATGAATAAAATGAGAGAAAGGAACTAACATTCATTAGATGTTTACTAAAAGGCCAAGGATTGGATATCACCTAAACATAGCTATTCCATTTAATCATCACAATAGCTACATGAAGTACTAAGATCTCCTTTTATATGGCCAGAGTAGGGACTTCCAAAGTACACCGGTGGAGTTATTATTTCCCAATTTTTTTTTCCCCTGTAGGCCATTACATTGGTAGTTGTGGTGAAGTCTTAGTCCCATTACAGAATTACCTAAACCCTTTGAAGAGCAGAGGTGATCTTGTATTCATGGTCTAGTCCAGACCTCCCAGAGGCTCTCTCTTGGAGGCAAACTCAGATACAATTAGGCAAGTCCAGGAGTGAATGTACATTGTTTACCTGGAAGTTAAGTCAGCATTCTGCACCAAGTTTGAATCCCTTTTGTTAATTGACACCGATATGACTCTAATAAATAAAAATATTTAAACAGTGATCTAAGAAGAACAACCTTTTTTTAACAAATATGTATATACAATCAGCATTCATTTATGAAAATCCCCAGATTGTTTTTCTTAAAAAAAGATTTTTAAGGAAAGAACAGTATAAAACATAAGTCTCAGATGTTCATATGAACTTTTAAAAAAATTTTTATTACTTTCTTCTTTTGAAAGGCAGAGTGATAGGGAGTGAGATCTAAAGAGGGATCTTCCATCTGTTGATTTACCATTCCCTGCCCTCCACCCCATGCCTGCAACAGCTAGGTCTGGGCCAGGCTAAAGCAAGGAGCCTGGAACTTTATCTGGGTCTGCCATAGGGATGGCAGGGGCCCAGGCACTTGTATGATCACCCCCTGGCCTCCCAGGATGTATTAGCAGGAAGCTAAATCAGAAACAGAGGAACCAGAATTTAAGGGATGGGGGCATCCCATGTGGTGGTGGCTTACCCTAATTGCAACAACATCACCCCAAGCTTTTTTATTTATAAAAATGTTCTGGGGCCAGCGCTGTGGTGTGTGTAGTAGGCTAAGCCTTCCCCTGCAGTGCTGCATCTCATATGGGCACTGGTTCGTGTCCCAGCTACTCATCTTCTGATCCAGCTCTGTGCTAACGGCCTAGGAAAGCGGTGGAAAATGGTCCAATTGCTTGGACCCCTGTACCCCATGTGGGAGGTCTGGAAGAAACTCCTGGCTTCTGTCTTTGGATCAGCCAGCTCTGGCCGTTGTGGCCATTTGGGGAGTTAACCAGCAGATGGAAGACCTCTTTTTCTGTCTCTCTGTAACTCTGCCTTTCAATTAATTAAATAAATCTTTTTTAAAGAGTTCTTTTTTATCTTAACATCTTTATAATAGAATGGAGAAGGAAAGACAATTATTTGGCTGCCAACATCTTCTAGATTCTTACTAATAAAAATGGAGCCTGCACTTTACAGCAGCATCAGCATTACTGAGTATTTAATTGAAAGTCAGTATTTCAGGCCTCACTTCAGACCTACTGAATCAAAATCTAAATGTTAACAAGATTCCTGGTGTGAGTCATAGGGACATTCTGGATGGAAAACACTGCCCTAGACTAGACCACTGCCATAGGAGATCTAACTCTTCAGTTTTTTTCTGTATTTCCTAAGAATATGTCACTTCTTGTCTTCTAATGCTGCCCCAAATGACTTTCAACTTTTCACTTTTTCTGAATTTGCTTTATAAGCTGCAGTGGTATTTCTCCTGCCTGAAATAGACATGATCCTGTTCTTTTGATTTTTTTTTCATTCAAGGCAGAAAATAGCAGAAGCCAGACCTAAAGGATTCTGGGTAAAGAGAAGGGAACAGACCCATTCCTATATATGCCTTTGTATCTTTAGAAAATAGTTGTTTCCAAAGCCCCATCCCACATTGACTTCAGACATTTTTCACTTACAAGAACCAACCAGTCATATGTATAAAAAGAGTTGAATTTGTTACTATTTTTTTAGTACCTAGCTATATCCTATTGTTCCATGTCCTTTTTTTTTTTTTTTTTTTTTTTTTTTTTTTTTGTGAGGCAGAGTGGACAGTGAGAGAGAGAGAGACAGAGAGAAAGGTCTTCCATTTCTGTTGGTTCACCCCACAATGGCCGCTGCGGCTGGCGCACCACGCCGATCCGAAGCCAGGAGCCAGGTGCTTCTCCTGGTCTCCCATCCGGGTGTAGGGCCCGAGGACTTGGGCCATCCTCCACTGCCTTCCCAGACCACAGCAGAGAGCTGGACTAGAAGAGGAGCAACCGGGACTAGAACCTGGTGCCCATATGGGATCCCAGCACCACAGGCAGAGGATTAACCTAGTGAGCCATGGCGCTGGCCCCTTGTAGGCTTTTCTAATTGCTTCACATGTCCGCCACCTGGAATTGAAACTTCTTGAAGGGACCAGCACCATGACTCACTTGGCTAGTCCTCTGCCTGCGGTGCCAGCATCCCATATGGGCACCGGATTCTGTCCCAGTTGCTCCTCTTCCAGTCCAGCTCTCTACTGTGGCCCGGGAAGGCAGCGGAAGATGGCCCAAATGTTTGGGCCCTGCACCTGCATGGGAGACCAGGAAGAAGCACCTGGCTCCTGGCTTCGGATCGGTGCAGCGCTGTCTATAGCGGCCATTTGGGGGGTGAACCAACGGAAGGAAGACCTTTCTCTCTGTTTCTCTCTCTCACTGTGACTCTACCTGTCAAATTAAAAAAAAAAAAAAAAAAGAAACTTTTTGAAGTTAGAGGCTGTATATTATTTTTCTCTTGAACACGAAACCTAGCATAAAGTTCTAGAATTTGAAGTGGGAGCTAAATATAAAAGATTGTTGATTTATACCAGTCAGCTTGTAAGGACTACTTATTCTCAAGAAGGTTGACCGAATTCCATCAGGAAACTAGTTTTTTCCCTCCACTCCAAAACAAGAAGGTGAATTAGGAAGACATATATGGGGGAATAGGTTGGGAGCTATTAAGTATCCTGTTTAATCATTCTCTCTCTGTTTTGTCTTCAGCCCCTCTTTCCTTCTGTTTTACTTAATTCATACTTAAATACTTACTTAAATATTTCCTTTCCCTTCTATTGACACCTCAGTTCTTTACAGTGTGAGTGCCCCCCCATGTCTTCTAAAACCACCCTCATATAGGAATTCAGTGATCCCTTCATTCTTGAAACTCCCCTCTCCTAAAGCCAGAATCTCATCTATCTAGATTTCCTTAATCTTGGTCTTTGTTGGCTCTTTCTCCTTTCTCATGAAAGTGGAGAGAAAAATATTTTGACAGTTGCATTTTCTAGGAATTCAATTTCTTATCAGAAGAACAGTGTGTTGTGTTAGTAACTCTTAAACTCCTGTTCCTTTAGATCTCCCACTATACTTGAAAACAGTTTTAATTCACTCATCAGGGATTCATACTGTTTATTTGTTCATAGTTTTTAGGACTGTCTAGAGTCAGGGATTCTGAGGTATTGAAAGTACTCTGTTTTGCACATTTTTACCGATGTGGACATTTCTCTGTTTCTTTTGTAACAGATTGCCCCAGATCATGTAGTTCCAGCTCCAGAAGAGTGTTATGTATATAGTCCCTTGGGTTCCGCTTATAAACTTCAAAGTTACTCTGAAGGACATGGTAAAAACACCAGTTTAGTAACCATGTGAGTAAAACTGCTTTGTGGAGCATGATTTAAGCTGTTTGTGAATGAAAATTACTAATTGTTTTAATTTTTGTCCTAATTAAAATTTTTGAAGAGTCAGCCTCCATTATTTTAACTGCTAACTACTTTGTGTTTTCAGTTTTATGATTTGGAATACCATGATGGGAACATCTATACTAAGTATTCCTTGGGGCATAAAACAGGTAATACAATTTTTCAGTATACTTTTTCCTGAGTTTTTTTCTCCTTGTATTTTAACTTTTATAACAGATTTATAATAAATACATAAAATTCATTAAAGAAAAAATAATTATGTTTAATTTTTCATTGATTGTTGGGTTTTTTATTGTGGTTGCTTAAGATGACATAATACGGTTGCCTGTGAGTTTTTTCTTATATGATGATATTTGTTGTGCTATGTTTTTATTTTTAAACAGGCTGGATTTACTACCGGAATGTGTGTCATCATGCTGATGGGTGTTTTAACACTTTATTGCTGCTACAGAGTAGTGAAATCACGGACTATGATATGTAAGAACTTGACATAGTGAAAATAGATTAGTGATATAGGTATTAATAATTACTTCCCATTGGGGTATATGTGTATTCCACATGTGTGTCAGCTATTGAATTTGTGCCTAAAGATTTACTTCTCTAATTTACAGCTTTGGCTGAACTGATCTGTTAATGCAGTAGTGGCCACTTTTGAAATTTAGAATCTGAGAGATCTTTGCAGAATGCATTCAAACTGGTGCTAATCTCCTCATAAGAAAAGAAAAAATTTATATTTTTATAATGAGGCCATTGCCAGAACTAAACAGAAAATTTTATGATTTCTTATTAGTTCAGGGTGACTTGTTTTCACCTATCCATACCAGAAGACCTAAATGTTGGAATCTCTTAGAAGTAGAAATTGTAACTAGAAAAATATGAAAATAAAAGCAGTTCTTTTTTTGGTGAGTTCTTTTTTTTAAGATTTGTTTTTATTTATATGAAAGTCAGAGAGAGAGAGAATCTTGCATCTGCTGTTTGACTCCCCAAATGACTCCAACCACCAGGGCTGGGCCAGGCTGAAGCCAGGAACTGGGAGCTTCCTTCAGGCCTCCCACATGGGTGCAGGGGCCCAAGGACTTGGACATCTTCTGCTGCTTTCCCAAGCACATTAGCAAGGAGCTGGATCAGAAATGGAACAGCTGGAAGTCAAACTGGCACCCATATGGATGCCAGCATTGCAGGCAGCAGCTTAACCCATTAGACCACAATGCCAGCCCATTGTAGTGAGTTCCTAAAGTTGTGTAAACACGTTACCTCTACATCTGTATAAATTATACATCAGGGAAAGATAGTTTCAGACCTAAATAGATGTCATTGGGTTTTAGCAAGGATGAATCAACATACCAGGCTTTGCCTCCAGAGTTTTTTGTCTTAAGAAATTTTCTTCTTCATATTAAACAAATCTTAGTTACAAGTCTTTAAAAAAGATTCATTCTGATTCCTAAATGACATAGAGTGCTTATTTAGCCTTTGGTTTTCTTTTTCTTTTTCTTAACAGGCAGAGTGGATAGTGAGAGAGAGACAGAAAGGTCTTCCTTTGCCGTTGGTTCACCCTCCAATGGCCGCCACGGCTGGCGCGCTGCGGCCGGCGCACCGCGCTGATCCGAAGGCAGGAGCCAGGTGCTTCTCCTGGTCTCCCATGGGGTGCAGGGCCCAAGCACTCGGGCCATCCTCCACTGCACTCCCGGGCCATAGCAGAGAGCTGGCCTGGAAGAGGGGCAACCGGGACAGAATCCGGCGCCCCGACCGGGACTAGAACCCGGTGTGCCGGCGCCACTAGGCGGAGGATTAGCCTGTTGAGCCGTGGCGCCAGTCTGCCTTTGGTTTTCTTAAAAGCAAAATTTGACTAAATTTGGAAGACCTCTTTAAACATAAAGTAGGCGCCGGCACTGTGGTATAGCGGGTAAAGCCGCCGCCTGCAGTGCCGGCATCCCATATGGGTGCCAGTTCAAGATCTGGCTGGAATCAACCAACGGATAGAAGACCTCTCTGTCTGTCTGTCTGTCTCTCTCTCTCTCTGCCTCTCCTTCTCTCTGTGTAAATCCGACTTTTAAATAAATAAATAAATAAATAAATAAAAGAAGTAAGCAATTGTAGGTTTTAAAAAATAAACATATATAGTAAATGTGTATCCTGTCTAATGCAGGATTTCTTAGAAAAGACAGCTTCTACTAAATTCTCTGTAGAACTGTTAAACAGATAACTCTTCTTAGTACTTAAGCTTTCCCATACTATTTAAAAAAAGGAACTGTCATCGATTCATCTTACAAAGTGAACATAACCCTAATATAGAGCCTGACAGTACCAAAGAAAAAGATATATATAGATAGAAAACTTCTTTATAAAACATTGGAGATAGACTATTTTTATAGATAGATTTATTTATTTGTAAAGCGGAGCAAGAGAGAGAGAGACTCTTTCATGTATCTGCTGGTTCACTCCCCAAATGGCTGCAACAGCCAGGGATGGGCCAGGCCAAAGCCAGGAACCAGGAGCTCCCTCCTGGTCTCCCAAATAGGGGGACAGGGATCCAAATAGTTATGCCATCTTCCACTGCCCTCCCAGGCACATTAGCAGGAAACTGGATTGGAAGCAAAACAGCCAAGACATAGATTGGTTAACCCGCTGCATCACAATGCCAGCCAGCCCTAGAAGTGAGTGTTTCATGCAGTGTTTTAATCTCCTCTTGGGGTGCATGCATCACTTAACCAATTTACCTGAATTTGAATCCTAGCTCTATTTCCTCCCCAGTGCTTCTTGCTAAAGAGCACCATTGGGAGGTAGCAGTAATGACTCAAGTACGTGGGTGCCTGCCACCTATGCGGGAGCTCCCAGCTCTTGGTTTTGGCCTTGTCCACACCTAACTGTTGTGGGCATTTAGGGAGTGAACCAGCAAATGGGAAATCTCTGTTTCTCTCTCTTTTCTCTGCCTTTCTTTTTTTTTTTTTTTAAGATTTATTTATTTATTTGAAAGTCAGAGTTACACACAGAGAGAAGGAGAGGCAGAGAGAGAGAGAGAGGTCTTCCATCGCTTATTCACTCCCCAGTTGGCCACAATGGCCGGAGCTGCACTGATCCGAAGCCAGGAGCCAGGAGTCTCCTCTGGGTCTCCCACACTGGGGCAGGGGACCAAGGACTTGGGCCATCTTCTACTTCTTTCCCAAGCCATAGCAGAGAGCTGGATCGGAAGTGGAGCAGCCAGCTCTTGAACCGGCAACCATATGGGATGCCAGCACCGCAGGTCAGGGGGTTAACCCACTGCGCCACAGCACCAGCCCCTTCTGCCTTTCAAACAAATAAAAATAATTTTATTAAAAGTGGAGATACCCTTTGAAATATAAATAAAACATTGTATCAAATTCAGCAGTATATCAAAAGAATAATATCCTATGTCTAAAATAAGGTTTATTCTATAGTAATTATCAAGAGATTAATTATTAAGAAATCTAACACTACATTAACAAATGAAAAATCCATAATTATATCAATAGACATTAAAAATGCAACTAAGACTTCAGCACAAATTTAAATATTATGGAAAAAATTGCAAAATATAAAGGGGCTGGTGCTGTGGCTAAGCCTCCGCCTACAATGCTGGCATCCCATATGGGTGCCAGTTCAAGTCCTGGCTGCTCCACTTCCAATCCAGCTCCCTGCTAATGACCTAGGAAAGCAGTGGAGGATAGCCCAGATCCTTGGGGCCCTGTACCCCTGTGGGAGACCCAGAAGAAGCTCCTGGCTCCTGGCTTTGGATCGGCACAGCTCCAGCTGCATTTAGAGACAATAACCGGCACCAGCTTGTGGCACTAGAGGTTAAAATACCACCTGCCGCCCTGGTATTCTATATGGGTGCCAATTCGAGTCCTAGCTGCTCCACTCTCATACAGCTCCCCGATAATGCACCTGAGAAGGCAGCGGAAGATGGCCCATGTGCTTGGGCCTTTTCACCTACGTAGGAGACCCAGAGGAAGCTCCAGGCTCCTGGCTTCAGCCTGGCCAAGCCCTGCCATTATGTCCATTTGGAGAGTGAACCAGTGGATGGAAGACTTTCTCTCTCTCTCTCTCTCTTTTTTTTAAGATTTATTTATTTATTTGAAAGAGTTACAGAGAGAGAGAGAGAGAGAGAGAGAGAGGTTCTCTCCCCAATTGGCCGCAACAGCCAGAGCTGTGCCGATCCGAAGCCAGGAGCCAGGAGCTTCTTCTAGGTCTCCCATGCAGGTGCAGGAGCCCAAGGACTTGGGCTATCTTCTGCTGCTTTCCCGGGCCACAGCAGAGAGCTGGATCGGAAGAGGAGCCGCCGGATCTTGACCAGGCGCCCATATGATGCCAGCACTGCAGGCCAGAGCATTAACCCGCTGTGCCACAGCACTGGCCCCTCTCTCTCTCTTTTAAATATTTTTTTAAAAAAAGAGTCAATGACCAGAACTACGAAACAGAAAAAAATACTCCATTCACAGTAGCAGTAAACTCTAAGGGATTAGAAATAAATTTAGCAAGAGGACAAGACATCTGCATGAAGAAAAAGATAAAATTATATCTAAAGACAAAGAATAAGAACTGAACAAGTGGGGAAAAATAACTATGTTCTTCAGAAGATAATATAAAAATGGGAGATACATAAGTTCAGTGTCCTTTCAATGAAACTCAGTTTGGACTTGGATTAAAGTAACCTTAAAGTTAATATGGACAAATGAATGCCCAAGTAGAGGAAAATAAATTATAAAAAAGAAAAGGTAATGTTGGAATAAATCTTAGCAAATAGTAAAACATACTATAAAGTCACTGTAATAAAATAGAAAGGTGCTATGTTAGGAGTAGCCAAATAGCCATGGAATATATCAATTATAATACATAGAATATAAACTTAATATATTATGCAGTATTAGATGCCCATGCAACTGATTATCCATTTGAGGGAAAAAATTGGGGCACCTTATACAAAAATCTATTCCAGATCATTTAAAGACTTAAGTGTCTTTAAATAAAAACTGTAAAAAGCTCAGAAAAAGATTTAAGAAATTGTACATAAAACCTAGCAGTTGAGGAGATTTTCCTAACCAATATGGAATATGTAAAATTTTTTTTAAAAAAAGAAATGTATCACAGAGTTATATATCATGATCAGAAAGTTTTTTGATAGAAAATTATAATTATCTGATAGATAATTAATCAAAAAGACGTTTTGAAAAAGCCACGTGCCCCCTCCAAGTTGGGTCCATATTCAAACTAATTTGTGGAAAAAACCAGATCTGTTAAAGACCTTATTTAAAGATTATGATAAAACCAGGGCCGGTGCTGTGGCGCATCAGGTTAAAGCCCTAGCCTGAAGCGCCAGCATCCTATATGAGCACCGGTTCTAGTCCCAGCTGCTCCTCTTCCAATCCAGCTCTCTGCTATGGTCTGGGAAGGCAGCAGAAGATGGCCCAGGTCCTTGGGCCCCTGCACCGGCATGGGAGACCTGGAAAAAGCTCCTGGCTTCAGTTTGGCATAGCTCCTGCCGTTGCAACCATCTGGAGAGTGAATCAGCAGATGAAAGACCTCTCTCTCTGTCTCTACCTCTCTCTGTAACTCTGTCTTTCAAATAAATAAATCTTTAAAAAAAATCATGGTAAAACTTTTTGATTGAAACATTAGTTGATTAGTTTTATAATTCCTAATTGAGAAGATAATTGTCATTCATTAAGAAATTTTTTGTATACTGTGTCTGTAAGTAGTTTTATTCTGTGTTCCTCAGTATTCAGTCTTCACTGAGCATTTATAAGCTGACTAAAAGTAACTTCACTAAAATAAAATATACTCTCTGTTTTAAAGATGTATTTATTTAAAAAAAAAAAAGATTATTTATTTGAAAGGCAGAGCAACAGAAAGAGAGGGAGAGACAGAGAGTGAGCTTGTCCTATCATTTGATTCACTCATCAAATAACTGCAACATCCAGGAACTCCATCTAGATCTACATGGGTTGCTGGAGCCCAAGCAGTTGGGCTATCATCAGCTGCCTTCTGAGGCACATTAGTGGGAAGATAGATTGGAAGCAGAGCAGCCAGGACTCGAACCCTCACTCTAATGTGGGATGCTGGCAGCACAAGCAGTGGCTTAACCTGCTGCACCACAATGAAGGCCCCTTTCCCTTTCTGATTGTTTTTATTATTATTATTATTATTATTATTATTATTATTATTACTATTACTATTACTATTATAGAAAACCCAGCCTCTGCTAGAATGATGGTAGAACAGTGCTATTGTAATACTTACACGGTATGCCATTTAGGGAGTACACATGTACTTTTCTCTTGCCTCCAGCATGAAACTGGAAGAGTCTTTGAAACAATTCTTTTTCTTTTTCTTAAGATTTATTTATTTATTTGAAAGGCAGAGTTACAGAGAGAGGGAGTGACATAGAGAAGGAGAGACAGATCTTCCATCCACTGGTTCACTTCCCAAATGGCTACAATGACCAGAGATGAACTGATCCAAAGCTAGCAGCCTGGAGCTTCTTCTGGGTCTCCCACGTGGGTGCTGGGGCCCAAGGACCTGGGCCATCTTCTGCTGCTTTCCCAGGCCATAGCAGAGAGCTGGATCAGAAGTGGAGCAGCCGGAGCTTGAACCGGTGCCGATGTGGGATGCTGGCGTTGCAGGTGGCAGCTTCACCAGCTGCGCCATAGCACCGGCCCCTGAAACAATTCTTAATAGTGATATGCTCCTTATGTTCTTTGTCTAGGTGTAAATTATCATGTTCTACTGTTCTCAGCTTCTCAGACTTCATCCCTGCTTTGTTTTTGTTGTATATTAGCTGCCATATTTGCTTGAGATAATAGTTTCTGTATATTCATCAAATGTAACAGTTATCTTAAAGCAGTTCAGAACATAGGATTATAGAGTAACAAACTATAAAATTATACTTTGACAATTAAACTAATTTTTATAGGTTATGCTTATCTATATTCTTAATTTTTATTGAATGTTGAACCTCATCATAGAAGAGCAAATATTTTTGTTCCTTTGTGGTTTCATTCTGTATAAATTCCCATTATTTAGGTATGTTTTATAGAGTTATAATAGTGTATAATAATGTATTAGTTTTGTCTTCAACTTTATCACTTAATATATTTTATGTTTTTACGCTTACCATTTTTATGTCTTAATGATTGTATACAATTCCACATTATGGTTCCATTGTTTTTGCTTAATAATTGCTGTACCGTTGTATATTTAAGTTCATGTCTAGCTCATGCTATTCTAAATGATACTCTTCTAAAATTTTTTATATATACTTTTTATATTCTTTTATTAAATTTCTATAGTTTTGAAAAGCAGTCGTTATAATTACAATGATAATAGCAATTTTAGAATTATACTGATTTCTAGTAGTATCAGCTGTGAATAATTTAGACTGCTTTTTTGAAGCTTGCCTTTATTAGATGTGTTCCCATCTTCATTTTGTTTTGTTTAATGCTTGCAATGTTTAATGTTGCTATGTTTTTCTTAAGCTGTGTTATTTATTCCTATCCCTTTCCCATTTATCCACAAGTACCTTGGTAAACTCCTTATGCAATGTAGGCCTTAGATTTTTTTATTTCTCAAAAATTTCTTTCCCACTCAGTATTTGAATGACTTCCATATTGTAAGAGCTTTTTTTTAAATCTGTCTTTTCATCATAATTTCTAAAGGACAGTCCTTCAGTTTGATTTCTGCATTGTGTTTTCTAACTTTTCTGCTATTAAATTTTGTAATTTTTAACTCATTTACCTGAAATTTAATTGGCATTTGGTATAAAGTGAGGCTGAAGAAAACTTGCCTCCATATTGTTGTCTGAATATGCCAAATATTAAGTAATAGTTTCTGTCCCGTACTGATGAGTTTGTCTAGCATTGACTTACCACTTGCTTTTGTTAGTTATAAAACGTTATGATGCTGAAATCTATTTCTTAAATTATCTGTGCTATTTTATTGATCTACATTTCCCTTATCTGTGTTCTTTGTATTTAAATTGCTATTATATCTTGATACTTTCTAATATCAAGTGGTAGAATACCCATAATCTTTTACTAAGTAGTTTGAGTTAAGTTGGAGAACACAGATGAGGACTATGGAATGTATTATGCTCAACATCTAGTTTTATTTTTCTCTTTATTTTTCTCTAGCTTCACTGGACACCACCACGTGGGAATATCCAGATGTCTGCAGACACTATTTTGGCTCCTTTGGGCAGTGGTCGAGTCTCATTTTCTCCTTGGTGTCCCTCATTGGAGCAATGATAGTTTATTGGGTGCTTATGTCTAATTTTCTTTTTAATACTGGAAAGTTTATTTTTAGTAAGTATTCCTGTTATATGCTTTAAACACAATTACTTTCAAATACAGTTACTGCTGCGATGTTCCAGCCTTTAGTTCTAGGAGTGGGATAAATAAAGTGGGGAAGAAGTAGAGGCAAAAATATGTAATTCTGGAAAACATGCTTGATGCAGTGGCTGCCTGTGGTTGTGATCTCAAATATAATGTGCATATTCATTTCCAAATATTAATTTTTAAATAAATAATATTCAAAATATCTAATTAAAATATTTCTGTAATTCAGATGTTTTAAGCATTGTTTCACAGAATTTTAGCACTGTAACAGACAAGTGTATAAAAGTCATTGGTATTTATTGGTAAAGAATTTGATGTGTAGACTCTAGGGAAAAGGAAAAATATTTCAGTCAACTTTTCAACATAGGATCTAAAATTACAAAACAGTAGAATAATGAGATTTATGTGATAAGTATATTATTTATATATCACAGAATTGTAATCTACCCAAGTCAGCTACAAAATTCAAACCATTTTGTAATATTTTTAATTTGGATAGAGGAAGTTCATTTTCTGTTGCATAAGGTTCCAATTTTTTTTCCTGATAACTTATAGGCCTGAAGTTTGTAATATGTATAGTTTGCTTTAAATAAAACCTATGTATTTAAAATATGGACTTGTATGAAAAATCAAATTTCAGATTAATTTCTAAAATAATCACAACAGCTAAATTTCCTTTGAGTGTTGGGGGGGAGGGATTCTATTTTTATTTTAAACCTTAAGATTACCATTTTGATTAAACTCTTATTACTAAGCATTTTTATTGTATAAAAAATTAGGAGATGTTTCAAACTACCAAAAAATATAGAAGCTAATATAAATATCAATGTGTAGGCTTTAATGTAGCATCTTAACATTTTACCATATTTACATTATGTCTACATTCTTACCAAAATAAAATATTACTCATGTAATTGAAGTCTCATATGTGCTCGTTCTCAATCTCGTTTTTCTTCTTCCCTAACTTTGATGTTTATTAAAAGTCTTGTGCATGTTTTTTACTTCTACTACATAAACATATGAGCAACAGATAGTATTGTTTTTGCATGTTTTTTCATCTTTACAAATGATTTTGTGACTTGGTTTCTGTTTGATAATATTTTATTGAAATACAAAGTTCATTTTAATTACTTTATAGTATTCAGTGATATGACTATTCCACTCTCTGTTCTTTTGTTAATGAGTCTTTAATTTGTTTATTTTTTATTGTTAGCAATGCTTTATTAAACATCTTTGTTTTATCTCCTTGTATACATGTGGGAGAGTTTCTCCAAGCTGTGTATGCACAGGAAACATTTCTGAAATTTAGGATAGTCAGATAATTGCCGAATTGTTTTTTATCATATTTTTGCCATTCATACTCCTGCCAGCTGTTTGTGAAACTTCCCTTTGTTCCCCATCCATATCCATGCTGATAGAACTATCCGACTTAAGTTTTGCCACTTGGGATGTGGTTTTAATTTGCATTTCTTGTCATAAGGAATGGCAATAAATGTCCCTTCTTAAATATATTGACCATTAAATAGCTTTTACTTATGTATCTTTTTTTAAGTATAAAGTTGCACAGAGCAGTGCTAGTAAACATTCTACAGTTCCTAAGGAAAACCTTCTGTTGCACCATTAAATAGAATTAAAGACAGTCTGCCTGTTACTTACTTAAGTATTTTTATAAATGTGTGTTAAACTTTCTCAGGCACTTAATCTGTATACATTGATTTAATCATATTTTTCTCCATTAAGTTGTTAATTTGGGAAATTAAATGAATGCATTTGTAACATATAAACCATCCTTATAGTTTAAGGTCAATGTCAATTAATTTATTAGTCATGCTTTTTTTTTTTTTTTATTCTTTACTGGATTGAAATTGGTCTTTGGAGGATAGGGAGTTAATTCATTTAGAACTTTTTCATCTTATCATATGAGATCTTGACCCCTGATTTTTCTCTCTCGTGCTGTCTTTGAGCCTTAGTGTATAGATTCCTAGGGCTGCTGAAACAAAGCACCATAAACTGGTGGCTTAAAACAACTGAAAAACATCCTCTCACAATTATGGAGACTAGAAGTCCAGTCAGAATGTCACCAGGTCCCTGCTACTTCTGAAGGCCCTGGGCAGGAATCCTGCCTGGCCTCCTCCAGCCTCTGTTAGTTGCCAGCAACTTTGGCATTCCTTGCCAAGTAGCTGCATCACTCCAGTTTCTCCCTCTGTTTTCTCATGCCTGTCTTCCCTCTGTGTTATCTGGGTCCAGATTTCCTTCTTCCTATAAAGACACCAGCCATTGGCTTTTGGGGCCCACCCTAATCCAATGTGACCTCATCTTAACTTGATTATATCTGCAGTAACCTATTTCCAAATAAAGCCACATTCTGAGGTTCCTGGTGGACATAAAAATTTTGGGTGGGACACTATTTAACCCAGTACACTTAAAATCAAGTTTTTACTAGCCTGATGTAAGTCTTTGGCATCAAGAAATTACATGAAGATTCATAATTTCCAATCTTGAAGCACTAATAACCCTTGGAAGTATTATAAAAAGCAAGAGCTAATATACTGCTTTTCTTATTCAATATTGAGAAGTATATAGTGAAGGTGAATAATTCACATATTTAACTTTACTTTTATGATCCTAAAATGTAGCTTATCATCTTTTACCATCTCATTTAAGTTTCACAACAACAAATACTTTTATTAATCCACCTTAAGACTATAAAAGGTAAATATTGAATAAAACACAGTAAACACCCTCAGGCCAGCAAGAAGACACCTTCTCTACCCCTTCTTGCATTCGCTATAGAATGATATGAATGCTCAGGTATCTGCATATGCTTTTTCTTTGCTGCTTCCATAATCTAGCTCACTGGTTCTTATGAACATAACACTTACTATACAACTTTGGCTTTATAAAGCCTTTGAGGGATTTTCCTTTTCTTGCACAGTTTATGTAAGATCTAACTATACTTATATAAATTAGTGTTGAGTATAGGATAAAAATTGTACATTGCTTTCATTCAGGGCTCTTAATTGCCATTAGTTCATTAATTCAGCCTTGTGGATAGATTGTTTTTAATTTTCATCATGAAAGTTTTCCCAAGTGGGACTGTGAAACCAATGACATTTATCCTTCCTGACAGTGAGGAAAACTAGACAGTGAGGCTGTGTTAGTGATGCAGTAGTCGTGGTTCAGTGCACCAGCTAATATCACTATACAGTTGATACCAAAAGATTTATAAATAAAACACTTTCTTGTATACTAACCTGTTTTCTCCCCTTAATTTTTAGATTTTATTCATCATATTAATGACACAGACACTCTGCTAAGAACCAATAGTAGCGACCCTGGTGAGTAGTTTAGAATTTAGTTTGCTTCTTTGTTCCCTACATTTCTATAAAAAGAACTTAAGATAGAACCTATGACCTTATTTTAAGTAATTGATTAGCATAAAGACATTATACTCAGAACTGCTACTAATTGTTGTTAATAGAGGTTTAAAAAATATCGTTAGGCAATGATCAATTCATATTATACAACTCACAGTTTTACCTATATTATCTATAATTTCCCATGAATAATAAATATTTCCAAGAACCTATTTAATTGCTAATCATATTAGATGTCTAATTCTTAACTTGTAAACTTAGATTTATTAATTTTTAAATTCGTTTTATTTACTTGAAAGGCAGAGACAGAAATCTATCATCTGCTGGTTCACTCTCCAAATGCCTGCAAGCTAGGGATAGAACAAGCCAAACCAGGAGCCAGGAACTCAGTCCTTGTCTCCTACATGGATGGCGAGGACCCAATTACTTGAGCCATGTTCTGCTGCCTCCAGGGTGCGCATTGATAGGAAACTGGTATAGGTGGTGGAACCTGGACTCAGCCCAGTCACTGACAATATAGGATGCTGGCATCTTCACCACTATACCAAATGCCCTCTCCTATTTTTATAAATGTTTGTTTGTTTGTTATCACTACTTAAAAGGCAGAGTTACAGAGAAAGAGATCTTCCATCTGCTGATTCATGCTGCAAATGGGTGTAACAGCTGAGGCTGAATCAGGCTAAAATCAGGAGCCCAGAATTCCATTGTAGTCTTCCACGTGAACAGCAGGGGCCTAAGTTCTTAGAGCATCTTGTGCTGCTTCCTGGACACATTAGCAGGAAGCTGGGTTGGAAGTGGAGTAGCCAGCACTCACACCACTTCAGTGTGGGCCGCTGGTGTTGCAAGTGGCTTATCAAAAGGGCAGTTCTTCTAACACCTATTCATTAAGCCTGCTGTCTGTCCTGACCTGTAATAATGGACAGAAGTCTTTCTCTCCTGAAGCATACATTCCATTGTTTGCTATTCAGTATCTCACTTTGCCCTTTAATTAAACCTGATGAACCTGTCTTCTGTTAACACTAGAAAATGAGTGAGTGGTGTGCCAGCTTTTGTTCCTGTGGATACACACACCCCTACTTCTGAATTATTATGCTAAAATCTCCTGTACCCTATCACTTACCTCAGAATTTTCAGTGAGCCAAATAACATCATTGTCTTAAAAGAGAAAACTATTATAGCCCATGTGATACCAGTTGATGGAACTAGTTATAGCTAATAGAATTTCTTCTCTAATTAGGAATTAAGTCATAAACATCACAAGATCTTAAGAGGTCATTAATACTACTAAGGTTATAAATACCATAATTAAATTGGTGATTTGGAGAACACTGTCAGCAAAGTCCATTTACCTTTCTTGGCAGTACCTTATGTTGATACCAACACTTTAAAGAAAAAGTTTATTTGGGCCGGCACCGCAGCTCAATAGGCTAATCCTCCGCCTGCGGCGCTGGCACACCTGGTTCTAATCCTGGTCAGGGCGCCAGATTCTGTCCTGGTTGCCCCTCTTCCAGGCCAGCTCTCTGCTGTGGCCCGGGAGTGCAGTGGAGGATGGCCCGAGTACTTGGGCCCTGCACCCCATGGGAGACCAGGAGAAGCACCTGGCTCCTGCCTTTGGATCAGCATGGTGCGCCAGCCACAGTGGCCATTGGAGGGTGAACCAATGGCAAATGGAAGACCTTTCTCTCTGTCTCTCTCTCTCACTGTCCACTCTGCCTATCAAAAAAAAAAAGTTTATTTGAAAGAGAAAAGACAGACAGATGGACAGAGCTCCTATCCAGTCAAAAACTCGCCCAGATCACAGCAGCAGGCAGGTCTGGGCCAGGCCAAAGCCAGGAGCTAGGGATTCATTTCGTGTCTCCCAAATGCATGGTAGGGACCAACTATTCGAGCTATCAGTGATCTTCTACCTCCTAGAGTGCACTTTAGCAGGACGCAGGAATCATAATATCGTAATATCAGAATATGATATCATAATATCAGAACCAGAACTCCAGCCCAGGAACTCCAGTTTGGGATATGGATGTCTTGCCACTGGGCTGAATACCCACTCCATATACCAGTGCTTTTTAATTTCTCTTACAATGTTTATTTTGAACAATGTGGTAAATGTAATATGAAACAGTGCATCTCAATAAAGGTAAAAACTTGGAACTAATGTTTGTGGAATTCTTAAGTGTGTTCAGGCATTGTTCTGAAATTTTATAGCAACTCTATAAGGTAGACACTGTTCATTACACTTTAGAAAAGAAGGCACAGGGAAGTTAATTTGCTGAAAGACACATTAACTGTTAAGTGGTAAAGTTAAGAGGTATTATTCAGTTTACTTCCAAAGCCTGTGCTCTTAAACATTGTAATTAACGCAAGAAAATTTCAAGTTAATTTACTTATGTCCAGAGCATAGAAGAAAAAAGTACATGCTAAAATGCTGATTTAGAAAGGGGAAAGATTAAATGGTTAGCTTTGTGACATACAAAATAATGGATAGGGATAGGTGTTGAGTGCAGCAGGTTGAGCTGCCGCTGGGGACACCGCATCTCGTGTTAGAGTACCAGCTTGATTCCCAGCTACTCTTCTGATCCAGCTTCCTGCTAATGCGTCCTGGGAGACAGCAGATGATGGCTCAAGTGTTTGGGCCCCTGCCACCCCTGTGAGAGACCCAGATGGAGTTCTTGGCTTCAACCTGGCCCAGCCCAAGCAGTTGTGGGCACTTGGGGAATGAACCAGCAGACAGAAGATCTCTTTGTGTGAATGTGTGCCTGTCTGTCTGTCTCTCCTTCCCTCTCTATAGAGACACTATGCCTTTCAAGTAGATGAAAATATACACATATTTAAATAGGTAGAAAATGAAATTCAAAATAGGACTGACTATTCTTTCTCTTTGACGAGTGATAACAGGTAATAGTTGCTTACTATATTTTCCACCAGCTTTATAAATTCTTCACAAAGTTGTGATTACCAGCCAAACTCTTCTGAAATTAGAGATATGAGAATAATCTGTACTCTGATAACAGAAGAAATTGCCACTTGTTAAGAAAATTAAATTTTACTGATTTCCCAGTTCTCTGGATATCATCTAGACTCTTCAACTTCTATCAAGTGTGCTTAACTTCCAGAATTATTTTGGATTCCTAGGGTTCAAAATTGTGCATTTTGATCAGTGATTATGATTTGGTGGATACCATGGCAACTGTTTCAATGATGTCTTTCTGTTTATTCCAAATCAGTAGATTTTGTTGTTAAAAGAAACCTGCTTTTTTGCATTTGTATGGGTTATTAGTACAACACGGTTACTGTGAATGCTGTTTGTTATATTATTGTATAAATAAGATTACCATCTAGCCCAATACTTTCTCATTGGCAGTGGAACCAAAGGATAATTAGTAGGACTTTTTATAGTGTCTGGCAGAGGCTAAGGATATACCTCAAAATTTCCTAAGATGCTCTCACCTTTAGTTATGTATTTTCACGTGGAAGATTTGTAATATACCTGAATACACTTCTCATTCCAGAGAGGTGAAACTTAGTGCTCAAGGTAGTTGAGACGGGGAAAGCAGGCATCAGTATCTGGGGACAGTCATTTTTAGTTCTTTGTGGTTCTCACTGATCTCGTGCCTTCCTATTGCAGTGATTTGCCCAAGCGCCGGGAGTGGTGACCATCCTGACAACAGCTCTGTGATTTTCTATGTCAATGACACAGAAGTCCAGCAATTTGAAAAGTGGTGGAATAAGTCCAAGACAGTGCCCTTTTACCTTATAGGGCTCCTTTTGCCATTGCTCAATTTCAAATCTCCTTCATTTTTTTCAAAATTTAATATCCTAGGTAAGATGTGATACTCAGTTGTGGAGCAGAATACGGGGAGGGAGGGTTCTGTGGAAATACTGACTGACTTGGGAGAGAGTTACCTTCCAGGCCTGCTCATCTGTGTTCAATTTGTTCATTCATAGGTTACTCTGCTTTTTGTTATTTGTTTTTTATGGAATTTGGCACATAGAAAATTGTACATGACCATTTAACCTACCTGCCCCCTTCTGAGACATGATTTATTTAGTTTCCCATTCTGACATTACTGAACAACTTAGAGGAAATAGACTAAAATTTCAGGAGGAGAGGTCCAAATAAATATAATAGGAATTCTCAGTTTTAAGGGTTAGAAACATTAGAACATAAATAGGGAAGTTAGGGGATGTTTTTCCTATAGACTCTATTGAAGAGTATCACATATAATTGTCATCTGACTTTGAACCTGCGAGATCGTTGTCTAGCCTTTAGGTTTATTTTGCTTTTGCTTTCCTCCTCAGTGATTTTCTTTCTTACATCACTATTGCTTCTTTAAGGAGCAGACATTTTTCTATGAGCACTGTTTTCAGAAATCCCCAAGAAATGTTGGTTTTGGTTTTAATTTTTATTTATTTATTTATTTCACTTGAAAGGCAGAGAGATAGAGGGACACCTTCTGTCCTCTGGTTCGTCTCCAGATTGTATGCAACAGCTGCGACTGGGTCAGACCAAAGCCAGAAGTGAGTAACTCAGTCCAGGTCTCCCATGTGAGTGGCAGTCACTCAGCTACTTGAGCTATCTCCTGCCACCTCTAGAGTGCACCTTAGCAGGAAGCAGGAAACATGGTTGGGAGAGAGGCAGGACTCAACCCAGGCACTCTGATATATGGGAGGCAGGTGTCCCAAGTAGTATCTTAGCCATTGTGCCAAATGCCCACCGCTAAAGAAATGTTTTGACCTTATGTAAGTATCCCCCAGTGAAAACCCAAATCTCATTAACTAAAGAAGAGGCAGTGATATCATTCACGCAGAATTGATAATTCCAAATAGACCATAGAATTTCAGATCCTCCCAGTCAATTTGATCTCCTGGTAGGCAGTCTGCAGTAGAAAATAATTAAGTGACATCACATCAGGAAACCAGGAGATGGCTTTGGATTTCAAAAGACAAAAGGAAGAGATAAAGACAGTTCTCTGTGCCTCTTTGTCTCAGAGCAAGAGTCACTGTAAGCTGCCGTGGACACATACAGAAAATGAAGAGTTACAGTTACATAATCTTTGGCTTCTTGTGTTCATACTTTCTGAATCAGCTAATCTCCAAACCCACAGTAGAGCTTATATAGCTCATTTGTGGTTTCCTGATGTGCTTGCCAACTTTCCAGTGCAACAAATCTTTGAAAAGCATATAAACTTATATGCTCAATTGGGCAAAACAGTCATGAGACCTCCAAACAGGTTGATTACTGCCCAGCTCCTTAAGGATATTCTGCTTTTGCCCTTTTCCTAGGTACTTTCCTCTTCTTTTACAACTGTAACTTCTCTAGAGGAATTAGCATCCAGATACTTTCTTAAGCTTCCTAACTCCATGACAACTGGTCATAATTCATTAAAAGAAATAATCTTCCAACTTTCACACTGCTAAAAACTCTGAATGTTAGGGTCAGCATAGTGAGTTAAGCCATTGCCTACGATGCCAGCATCCCATAAAGGCTCTGGTTCAAGTCCTGGCTGCCCCAGTTCTTATCCAGCCCCTGCTCATGTGCCTGGGAAAGCAGCGGAGGATGGCCCAAGTGTTTGGAACCCTGCCACCCACCTGGGAGACCCTGATGGAATTCCTGGCTCCTGGCTTCAGCCTGGCCCAACTTTGGCTGTTGTGGTCATTTGAGAAATGAACCAGTAGATGGAAGATCTCTCTTCTACTCTCTCTCTTCTCTGTCTCTCCCTCTCTGTAATTCTGCCTTTCAAATAAATAACTCTTAAACTCTGTCCACTTCATCCTGTCTATAATACTTGTGAATCGAATCTGGAATCTGCATCTAGCAAGCAGTGCTATCCAATCAAACCCTAATATAGATGTCCCATCAGATAGTTCATGAGTTATTTGACTTACCACCTTTCTCAAATATATTTATGATCCACATTAACTACTTTTTTTGTAATACAGGTTTCTTTAAGAGTTACTAACTGGGGCCAGCACTGTGGCGTAGCTGGTAAAACCACCTCTTGGAGCACCAGCATCTGTGTGGGCACTGGTTTGAGACCTGGCTGCTCCACTTCAATCCAGCTCTCTCCTATGGCCTTGGAAAACAGAAGAGGATGGCCCAAGTGCTTGGGCCCCTGCACCTGCATGGGAGACCTGGAAGAAGCTCTTTGCTCCTGGCTTCAGATTGGCCCAGTTCCAGCCATTGTGGGCATTTGGGTAGTGAACCAGCAGATGGAAGATATATCTCTCTCTGTGTAATTCTTCCTTTTGAATAAAATAAATAAGTAATTTTTTAGAAAAAGTTTACTAACATTACTATTACAATGAACTATTCAATTTCTCAGTCTTTTTTTCCCTAACCTCACTTTTTTTTCTTAAATTTTTATTTATTTGAGAAGCAAAAATAGAGTAAGCTCCCGTTTGCTAGTTCACTCCCCAAATGTTCGCAACAGCTGCAGTTGTGCCAGGGCCAGAGCCAGCAACTGAAAACTTAATCTAGGTCTCCTCACAGTGAAAGGAATCATTTACTCCAGCCATCACTGTCGCCTCCCAGGAAGTATGAGTCAGGAGCTCGAACTGGGTATTGAACCCAGGCACTCCAGTGTGAGAAGCAGGTGTCTTAACTACTAGGCTAACCACCTGCCCCAACTTCTCAGTCTTTATGAAGTTTTTGTTGTAAACACTCTATTTATTTCAAAAGTGCTCATGTCAACCAATCAGACACAAATAAAACTTATATAACAAATGTTTCAAACCATTTTAATATTTTTCCATGGGATAACAATAGCATTAATATAGTAAATTGTTTTGCATTTTTATTAAGGTTAGCTCTCTACTTTAATAAAATTAAATAATTTTAATTAAAATTACTACTAGTAAATCCTGATTTTTAATACAGGTTTAATATCCCTTAATCAAAATACTTAAGACCAGAAGTGTTTTTAGATTCTTGAAATATTCACATAGACATAATTAAATATCTTTTTTAAAAGATTTTATTTATTTGCGAGGTAGAGTTACAGAGAGAGGAAGGTAGGGAGTTAAGGAGGAAAGGAGAGAGATGTCATCTATCTGCTGGTTCACTCCCCAAATGGCCACAAGGGCCAAAGCTGGGCCAATCCAAAGCCAGGAGCCAGGAGCTTCTTCTGGGTCTCACATGTTGGTGCAGGGACCCAAGTACTTGGACCATCTTGTACTGCTTTCCCAGGCCATAGCAGAGAGCTGGATCTGAAGAGGAGCAACTGGGACACAAACCAGCACCCATATGGGTTGCTGGCACTACAGACAGAGGCTTAGCCCATTATACCACAGTGCCGGTCCCAAAGTGAAATATTTTGAGGATAGAGTCCACGCCTAACACAAAGTTTGCTTATGTTTGGCACAGCAGTTAAGATACTACTTGGGATGCCCACATCCTGTATTAGAACGCCTGGAATTGTGTCCTGTTTCCACTTCTAATTCCTGCTTCCTGCTAAGGAGCACCCTGAGAGGCAGCAAATGATGGTTCAAGTACCTGGATCCCTGCCACCCATGTGTTACCTGGATTGGGTTCTAAGCTTCTAGCTTCAGCCTGACCCAGCCTTGGCTGTTATTTGGGGAGTGAACCAGCAGATGGACGAACTCTGTCTGTTGCTCTCCCTTTCAAATAAAAATAAATAAATTTTTAAAACCCTTAGGGCTGGCACTCTGCCATAGTGGGTAATGCTGCCGGAGTGGGTAATGCTGCCGACTGCAGTGCCGGCATCCCATATGGGCGCCAGTTCGAGTCCTGGCTGCTCCACATCCTATCCAGCTCTCTGCTATGGCCTGGGAGGGTGGTTGAAGATGGCCTAAGTCCTTGGGCCCCTGCACCCACATGGGAGACCCGGTAAAAGCTCCTGGCTTCATATAAATGCAGCTCCGGCTGTTACGACCAATTGGGGAGTGAACCAGCAGATGGAAGACCTCTCTTTCTCTCTGCCTCTCCTTCTCTCTCTATGTAACTCTGACTTTCAAGTAAAATAAATAAATCTTAAAAAAAAAGAAACCTTATAGCCTGAAGGTAATTTTATTTTTATATATTTATATTTTATATTTTTTAATATTGCCTACCTCGGCATTTTTATTTTGTAGACAGACACAGCAGGCTCCCAACTGTTGGTTCACTCCCCAAATGCTTGTAACAGCTGGGACTGTAACCCCTTTACTTTTCCTGCTATCTTTATCTTTCATTATAGTAACCTTTACAGTTTTGCCATGTTTGGAAAATAGGTTATTGGTAGTTGTTTGTCTCAAACATGGCTGGTTGGGTATGCTGCACTCTGACTTGGAGTCAGTCCTCCTTCATGCCCTTGTGCCCATGGTGCCAGCCATTGCCTCAGCTGGGGCTCCACTCTGGCTCCTCCTTTCCTCTCTCAGTGGCCCTGAGGTCCTGGCAGGGCTGGTGCTGAGTCAAGACAGGAGCCTCAGCAGTTAGTTGGGCCCCTAGAAGCAGCCCTTTTTTCTTGATGTTTCTTATCTCACCTTGACTATTGTGGCAGACTTTTCCAACCTAGGCCTAGCCTAGCACATGGTTTTTTGTTTCGTTTTCTGTAATTCACATCGCTTGCTTCTGTTTTTTTTTTTTTTTTTTTTTTTTTTTTTTAGCATTTATTTATTTATTTATTTGAAAGGCAGACTTGGAAAGGGAGAAGGATCTTCCATCTGCTGGGTCATCCCCTAAGTGAACACAACAGCCAGGTCTGGGCCAGGCTGAAGCCAGGAGCCAGGAACTCTATCCATATCTATCTATCTATCCATATCCAGGAACTCTATCCATATCCAGGAGCTCCCGCACCTGGGCCATCCTCCACTGGCTTTTCAGATGCACTGGCAGGATTCTGGATCGAAAGCAGAGTAGCTGGAATTCAGGCCGTCACTCTGATAATGGGATGCTGGCACTGCAAGTGGCTTAACCCACTTGCCACAACACTGGCCCCTTGTTTCTATTCTGTAGATCCCAGATGGTTTTTATTGGTTATACTCAATGCAAGAAAGACTTTTCACACTGTACTGAAAAAGCGGGAACAAAGTTTGATATTAAAATAGTCTGTCAAATATAACGTTTCTGATTTTTCTTTCTCACAGGCACAGTATCTGTTCTCTATTTGATTTTCCTTGTCACTTTGAAGGCTATTCGCTTGGGATTTCACTTGGAATTTCATTGGTTTGTGTCAACAGACTATTTTGTACCAGGTGAGCTATTTTTGCAAAGTAAAAGATTGATAAATTACAATAATTGTGATCTTTAACTTACATTATGCATTATTCTGATAAAAGTAATGGTATTTTTTATGCTGACATTTTATTCATGGTATCAAGCTAAAAACAGCACTATAGTTAAGATTACTCCAGATTTCGTGCAGTTAGGGGTAACTAGGGCCCTTCGTCTTTTCTGCTTGGGAATTATAGTTCCTTTAAGGTGCAGTGCAGATTGAAAAATCAAGAACTCATTCTCCAGACTTTTCTGAGAAAATACCCCGGGAATTTCAGAGACCCAGAGCATGCCAGTGATGGATGTAGATAAATCTTGCTTCTTGAAATCATTGTTCCCTTTATAGGTTTTCCTCTTTTTTTAATATTACTCTTTTTCAGGCTAATTAAAATGGTGATTTTTAAGTGTTTCCCTTCCATCTCCTTTTTTTCTCATGGCTGTAACTTGGCCATTTCTTCAGTTTCACCTGAACTTAGAACATTTTGGATGTGATAAAACCACCATAAAGCAATGAATGAGTAGTTCACAGTGAGGGGGAGATTAGAAAAGAGAAGTTATTATTATACAAGTATCTTGGAAACAAAGAATGAGAAAATAATACATAGTTCTGTTGTCGGCTTAGAATGACTGCTTTCTTTCCGTTAGGTCAGGCAGTCTAAGATGCAGGTGTCCAGCATCTGGTGTTACTTCCTGAAGTCTCACTGGAGCTATCGACTACCCCTCTTGTTACAGCATGTCTAGATTTTCTTTTTTATTTTAAGATTTATTTTATTTATTTGAAAGACAGTTACAGAGAGAAGTACAGACAGAGAGAGAGAGGTCTTCCACCTGCTGGTTCACCTCTCAGATGGCCTCAATGGCTGGAGCTGCACTGATCCGAAGCCAGGAGCCAGGAGCTTCCTCCGGGTCTCCCACATGGGTGCCGGGGCCCAAGGACTTGAGCCATCTTCTACTGCTTTCCCAGGCCATAGCAGGGACCTGGATCAGAAGTGGAGCAGCCGGGACTAGAACTGGCGCCCATATGGGATGCCGGCGCTTCAGGCCAGGTCTTTAACCTGCTGTGCCACAGTGCCAGCCCCATAGATTTTCTAGGTGTTTGAAGTTGGTATTTGTGTCATTGGAAGTTGTGTATATTGTCATGACTACTTGTTCTCAGAACGTTTGACTACATTAACTTTAATCTTCCATTTTCATTAGACGCCTACAAAGACTCAAAAGTCAGTATAACTTCAGGATAAAGGATGTATTGAAGCCTAAAACGCAGTCTTCTTTCAAAGATTGCATTTAAAATTAGACACTGATGAAAATGGCAACTTTAGTTTTTCCACTGATAAAAATAGTCTAGGATATAATTTTCTAAAATTAGATCTATGGTGTTTTGTAGAGTCTGAGTGATAAAAGTTTCTACTGGAGTGGGCGTTGTGGCACAGCAGATTAAACCACCTCTTAGGACATTCACATCCTATATTAGAGTGCTCATTCAAGTCCAGGTCACTCCAGTTTCCATGCAGCTGCCCACCAGTGCATCTGGGAGAGCAGTGGTTGATGGCCCAAGTACATGGATCCCTTCCACCCACTTGGGAGACCCAGATGTGTGTTTCTCTCTCTCTCTCTCTCTTGTCACTCTGCTTTTCAAATAAATCTTTTTTAAAAAAGAGTTTTTTTTTTTTATTTGAAAGGCAAAGTTATAGAGAGGCAGAGAGAAAGAGAGAGAGAGGTGTCTTCTACCTACTGGTTCACTCCCCAGATGTTTTCCTGGGTGCATTAGCAGGGAGCTGGATCACAAGTGGAGCAGCCAAGACTCGAACTGGTGACCATATGGGATGCCAGCACCACCTACAATGCCGCAGCACAGGCCTCAAATTAAAAAAAAAAAAAAAAGTTTCTGCTGACAATAGGCCATTAGAGGAAGATGTAAGGGAAAGGATACATAATTATCTAGAAAACAGAAAATAAAATATCTTAATAGAAGGTAATTTATTTGACTTTACTTTTTTTTTTTTTTTTTTTTTTTTGACATGCAGAGTGGACAGTGAGAGAGAGAGACAGAGAAAAAGGTTTTCCTTTGCCATTGGTTCACCCTCCCATGACTGCGGCGGCTGGCGCGCTGCAGCCGGCGCACCGCGCTGATCCGATGGCAGGAGCCAGGTGCTTCTCCTGGTCTCCCATGGGGTGCAGGGCCCAAGCACTTGGGCCATCCTCCACTGCACTCCCTGGTCACAGCAGAGAGCTGGCCTGGAAGAGGGGCAACCGGGACAGAATCCAGCGCCCCGACCAGGAATAGAACCCGGTGTGCTGGCGCCACAAGGCGGAGGATTAGCCTAGTGAGCTGCAGCGCCAGCTTACTTTACCTTATTTCTAAATGATGTGAGACAGAATCATGAGGCTTACAAGAAATTATGTTAGTATTTATTGTCCTGAAATCAACTACTCTATTATAATGAAAGAATTTCTCAAGAATGAAAACATGTAGTACGTCTTTTTCAGCAAAGGTTAATTAAGAACTGGACCTATGGAGGGTGTGAATCTCTAGTGTCCTGATGAGGATTCACATAAACTTTTAGTTCTGATTGAATCTTTGCTTGTTTGTAAAAATTTATTTTTCAGTGCCATAGATCTCACTTCCCTTTCTCCAGGTAATTGGAAGAATAATGAGAAAAATTCTACTTGTACATGTCATTCCAACTTTTCTTGCCAACACAAAGATTTTACTTTTTCATTTATCCCTTCTTCCTCCTAAATCATTCATCAATTAATTTTTACTCTACTGAACTGACCAATATGCAAACTTATCCTCCAGTCTAAATGGTGAAAATTCTTGTGACCCTATACGCTCCTCTAGTTACTGCCTCCCTTTAAAAATGTGTGGAAGGAGTTGTGTATGTTTACTATCTCCGAATTTTTCCATTTTGCCTTGAATTCACTTGCCAGGCTTTTGTCCCAGTCACTCCACTATAGCAGCCTTGGGTGCATTTGGTTGTTCCTTCCATCTTAAAAACACTTTACTTGACTTCTAAAACCCCATTCTCGCTCTGTTTTTTTTTTTTTTTTAAGATTTTATTTTTATTTATTTGAAAGAGTTACATAGAGAGATAGAGACAGAGAGAGAGGTCTTCCATCCGCTGGTTCACCTCTCAGATGGCCGCAAAGGCCAGAGCTGCACTGATCCGAAGTCAGGAGCCAGGAGCCTCCTCCGGGTTTCCCACATGGGTGCAGGGGCCCAAGGACTTGGGCCATCCTCCACTGCTTTCCCAGGCCATAGCAGAAAGCTGGAACAGAAGAGGAGCAGCCGGGACTAGAACCGGCGGCACCCATATGAGATGCCAGCGCTTCAGGTCAGGGCTTCAACCCACTGCGCCACAGTGCAGCCACCTCTTGCCCCCCATTTTAAAGAAACCCCATTCTCTCTTGAGTCTTCTATGTGACTGGCTGCTCCTTCTCAAATTTCTGTTTTCTAAATTAGAGGAAATTGTCCAGGGTTTAGTACTCAAACCTCTTTTCCCTCTATCCCTATTCCATAAGCTGTGTATTATCTATATGGTGACTAGTTGTCATTTTCTATGTATTCCAGCTTATCCACTGACATCCATGTTCACATACACCTGCTCCTTCTACATCTCCACTTGGATGTCTGTGAGGTGCTCAAACTTAAATTGACAAAAAGTAAATACTTGTTTCCTTCCTTGTTCATTTCCATCCACCAATCTGCTTACCCTTCCCTTCCCTTTTCCCAAGCGTCTCATCTTAGAAAGTGGTATTTGCAATTTTCCATTGCTTGAGCCAAAAACAGTCATCCTTGTTCATTCACTTTCTTCACCCCCTGCATTCAAACCGGCTACAAAACATGTCTGTTACTTAAGAGAATTTGCTCCTTACCGTTTACGCCGAAAGACCTGTGTCAAGCTACCAGTCTCTCACCTGGATTATTATACTAGCCTCCTAACCAGCCTTGCCACTCTGTCTCTTCCAGGGTAATCTGTTCTCTGAGCAGATCATTGATGCTTTTAAAACAAAACCCATAAAAGCCTCTGATAGTTTCCCATCTTCTTCAGAATAAAGGCAAGTCTTTTATCATAGTACACAGGCCCTGTAGGATTTGGCCCCTGATATTCTCGCTGAGTTCGTCCCCTCCTGCTTTCTCTCTTATTTAATCCACTCCAGCAACACTGCCTTCCTTGCTGTTACATGAATATGCCAAGCGCACTCCTGACCTTGGAATCTCTGTGTACATGAAATGCCCTTCTAGGCCGGCGCCGCGGCTCAATAGGCTAATCCTCCGCCTAGTGGCGCCGGCACACCGGGTTCTAGTCCCGGTCAGGGCGCTGGATTCTCTCCAGGTTGCCCCCCTTACAGGTCAGCTCTCTGCTATGGCCCGGGAGTGCAGTGGAGGATGGGCCCAAGTGCTTGGGCCCTGCACCCCATGGGAGACCAGGATAAGCACCTGGCTCCTGCCTTCGGATCAGTGCGGTGCACTGGCTGCAGCGTGCCGGCCGCGGCGGGGATTGGAGTCTTAACCAACAGCTAAAGGAGGACCTTTCTTTTCTATCTCTCACTTGACAGTGTGCACTCAGCCAATAAAGAAAGAAAGAAAGAAAGAAAGAAAGGAAAGGAAGGAGGGAGGGAGGGAGGGAGGAAGGAAGGAAGGAAGGAAGGAAGGAAGGAAGGAAGGAAGGAAGGAAGGAAGGAAGGAAGGAAAGAAAGAAATGCCCTTCTGTTTTCCCGGATGTCTAGATAGTATTGTCACTGAGGTCTTCCCTTGACCGTCAGCCCATTCCTGCCCCTCCTTTTGTGCCTTATTTTTCCTTAGAGTTTGTATCACTACCATATCTTATAGACTGATAGCCCTGGTTGCCTGAATACGTTAAATTCCTGATTCTGATGATGAGTTGAAATGCTGAAGGCCACCAAATTATTCTAATCTACTTGGTCCCTGAGTTCCAGAATTTTTGGATTTATCCAAAAAAATGTTTCCAAATCTTTT